ACCTAATGCTTTTAGTCCTGATTTTCCTCTTACTTTTAGTTAATGGAGTTTGGCAACAAATCGGAGGCAAAATCATTGCTCATTCATGTGAGTGACGATCTCTATGTTTGCATTATCAAAGATGCAATCTGAAAGAAGCGCTGATGCGTGCGTCACTGATGTCTGAGTGATAGTTAGCAGGTTAAATATCTAGACCTGTCTGCGATTTAAGTCCTGTAGTGTTAAATATGTTTTGACTGAAACTGACATTGGCAACGACAGACAGCTGTGTGAAAAGGACAGCAATCCAATGACTCTAAAGGCCATGTAACATATGAGTGACATACAGGTATAATACACTCAACAATTCGAATAATTTACTTACCCTCATGCTGTTGTAATATTGTATAACTTTTTCTTCTCAACACAAAGGAAGATATTTTGAAGAATGTTGGCAACAAAACACTCAGGCATTTATCAAAGTATCTTCTATTGTGTTCCACAGAAAAAAGTAAGTCATACACTTTTGGAATGACATGAGGGGGAGTAAATGACGAAAACATTTTAATTTTCCCTTTCAATTCATAGTCAAAAAATACCGTGATGCAGCACTATAACAGCCAATCAGAACACACTTGACATTGTTCATGTGCGGTGGAAAATGTATTGCTTAAAGGGGTCATATGATGCGATTTCAATTTTTCCTTTTTCTTTGGAGTGTTACAAGCTCTTGGTGCATAAAGAAGATCTGTAAAGTTGCAAAGACTAAAGTCTCAAATCCAAAGAGATATTCTTTATAAAAGTTAAGAGTCAACCACGCCTACCTAAAACGGCTCGTTCTAACACGCCCCCACATGTCTACGTCACGATGTGGGAAGATTTGCATAACGCCACCCAAATGTTCACGCAAAGAAAGAAGGCGTAACTTTTATTCTTGCTGTAGTATTGTTGTTGCCGCCGCCGCTATGTCGTGAAGACGCTGTGTGTTTCGTTGTGAAAGTGAAACTACTTTGTTTGGCCTTCCAAAAGAGGACGATATCCGCTTCGTCATGCCTAGAGCTGATCCGTGCTGGTTGCTGAGGAAATACATCAACTTTGCGCTGTCGATCGCCGGATCGGCTTTCTCCGTGGACGAAGCGGAGTCCAGTCCATTGTCACATGTGGTAGCTGCAAGCCCGCCGGACGCTACTTCGTCGAATCCGCTGGCCGCGCCGTTCTCAAGCCCGCCCGCCTCTGCTCACTCAAGCCGGCCTCCGCTCACTCTAGGCCTCCGGCCTCCGCTCACTCAAGAGACCTGAACTTCAGTCCGATCGGAGTGAGCCAAATCATAGCAAATAGTAGCTGTGCCACTCTGGATGGCCTCAGTCCTCCCCACAACGTGAAACTAAGAGAAGCTCCCACATTCACCTGAACCCTTCTAATCTGCAAAATAATGGCGCTCCTTACACTGAGGTGCATCCTTGCCTGACGTGACGCCTTTTGTTTCCTCCTGTGTTGTGACAACACTTACATTTGTAAATTGCCCTCCTTGTAGAGGATAAACATCTGATAGCCACAAGAGAAGGGGGTTGGGGAGCGTAACAAGCCTCTGGGACTTCCTCTAAACAAATGGAGAGATCTTTAGAAGGCTACTGTTTGTGTTTGCAAAAGACACGGCCAGGATACATGAGGCTCCTGTCAATGGCCTCCAGGCGCTATTCAACTACGTTAAAGCTGGCCAACAGGGTGTATCTGAGAGGGTCTGAGGGGAGAAGATCGCAAATGATGCAGAGAGTTATTGCAGGTTAAAGTAGCTGCAATATTGTATCTGAAACAGGTAATACGATCTGTATTACACTACTCAACTGAACCTGGGAGTTGAACCAAAAGCATAATATTGCTGTGCACTGACGCTGTGCAGGCATCACTCAGTGTGTGAACTATGTGGTCAGGAGCACGCTGTCAAAGCTGCTCATTGGATTGGCAATTACTTTAAAAAAAGAAAGAAAGAAAAAAAAAAAAAAGAAGAATGGCGGGGAGGGAAAAACAGCAGATTAATCATGCTGTTAGCGATGAAGATGAAGACGGAAGACGATGTAGTTTGGCTTTTTAAACAAACAACTCCTGAGTGTGCGGTGTGCTCGGCATTACCCTTTAATTTAGAGAGAGTTGACTGGAGAAGTTTTGTTTTTGCAGCTACGCTGAAGCTCTCTGCCCCCTTGTTCTTTACCCCCTTCTCCGGGGCTTTTTTCCCCCTCTCCGACACCATATGGAGCAGGCCTCGCGGAAACAATCCGCAAAAAAAAAACAGGCCTGCACTCAACCGTTCCCTCATTTTTTATCACCATGCGAGAATAAATTGCCCACTTATTGTGCGTTCTGCCAGTGGTCCGGGATCATTTTTGTGTTCTCGATCTAATTAGATTAGTTTGGTGCCGGTCCGGGGTTACTGCAAGGAGGTGCCATACGAGTGGAGAATATTGCGCTAATTGGCAGGAGGATACGGCCCATTCCTCGCCGTTCGCCAGCAGGTTCGCTCCTCGGCCCTCTCTCATTACTGCCGTTTTGCAACTATCTCAAAAGTCTGTAATAACCCAGCTTACCGTATTCTTACAGGCAGAAATTGGAGTCAGACTAGCGAGTCTCATTAGGCACGCTCATGACCGACACCTCTCAGTCCGTAAAGACTCTGCTGTTTATCTAGCAGGCCTGAAAGGCATAGAGATGTGGAATTTCCACTGCAGTGGAAACCAGTTCATGCTCGCATGCTAATTCCACATCTGGGAAAAAAAAAATCAACGACTTTAAAAATGTATTACAGCAAGTTCCTAAATGCACTTTTACCTGCAAATGAAAAGCCTTTTTCTTAGAGCCATTATATTCGTCAACAGTAACCAACTGGTTGTTGAGTAATATACAGCTGCTGATTAAGGTCTTGCTGCGTCAAATATTTCTATATGCGCTGCAAAACCCAGAAACGGTGGAGGCGAATGATCAGACTTTTAAATGAACATTATGAAAACATTTGGCCGTCTGCCTCCCTCGGCACACTGGCATGCCATACATCACGCAGGCACCTACTGGAGAACTATGCAGACCACTCAAATTTTCCCACCATAACTCAACCAAATTATACAAAGCAAGGTACAAGTAATAAGCATAAGCTTTAACTCACGGCATAAATCCATGTTTATACCCAAAAACGGGCATGCGAGTCAAAGAGATGTTCCAGTGCATAATAGCCGAACCTATAAGGATATGAGCATAAGTAAAGCCTATACTGTAGGTTGGATTCAATTAAAAGTGTGCTGAGATCAGAAAGTCCTCATTTTGAAAATATAGGCCTAGGCTACTTAAGTGCAAACACACCACATGCTGCTTAATGCGAAATATCAGTAAATCATAGTGAAGAATCATCGGCTGGACTATATAACAGCCATGAATTAGCATTTATGGGTTTAGACTGGGTCACACACATGGTTTTAAAGCAAATACACACATTTTTAAAGCAAATTAAAATTAAATTAGGTTGGCATTTCTAAATACGGGGTCTTATAAAACTGCAACCGTGTCATGGAAATGCATTAAATCACGTTTGGAAGGAGAAGTCTAAATTAACACAAAATCTAAGTAAATATTAATATAACAGCACCCCAATACATTTTTCCCCAATACCTTCAAATTAGTAAAAAGTGAAAACAGAAGGGAAAAAAATTTATTTAAAAAATGCATTGAAATGGCAAAATCTTTAAGTCTTTAAATTAATAAATTAAAATTGAATATTAAAAAATATTTACTAAAGACATCAAAATTCAATCTGTATTAGAATAAAAAATGTAAAAGATGAACAAACGCATTACAACCCAGTAAGCCCCATCAGGGACCCCTGGAGAAGGTGGCATATGTTTAACATTACGTAAATCTGCTGAAACGGCAGGGCACACGAGAGAAACCTCCAATGTGGCAACATTCACAAAGGCAGGATCCCCTAATCACTGGCCGCTACAGGTCGTTTATTATACATTTCGGCACAGGAGAAAACAGTCCACTACGACACACGCTCAGATTACCTCATTTAAGAACGACTACTGCTCGCAACCCAGACCGCAAAGAATGCAGCCGCTCTCAGAAGTTCAGATTATTGCATTTCTACCCTTCATTAGCTTGAGACTTAAAATCATGTGCGGTACAGAGCAAGTAGGCAAACCGCTTTTAAAATTAAAATCTCCGAAAAGGAGTGTTAACGGCATTTCCTAATAACACTTAATGCTGCTATAACGATTTATGACGTATCTAAATAACTGAGCAATGTAATAACTTTAAAAAACAAAAACCAACTAATGCAAAAACATGCCAAACATCTAAAAAAAAAAACTATCGGTGTTTGACCAGAGAGTGACATAATCAATCACCATTTATAAGACTAAACTACAAAAACAGACTTAATTTTATCTGTGTGCTACTATGCATATTTTTTATGATCGATGCAGAAATATCTCCTGAGAGGAAGTCTGTCGAGTTCAGCTTTTCACAAACACAGTGGCAGAGAAGAATACCAGACCACAGTATCACCTGGTCCACAAATGTACAGCTCAAAGAAAGCCCCCACAGACTAAAAAAATACTGCTTGTGTGGCCTATCTTATTACCCTGGAGAAAACCCACAAATAGTCAAAAAAAGTCAGGGAAAAGAACTGTTCCTGAACAGAAGAACTGTACTGTTCCACGTAATAAATGGCAAAGCAGTGGATGATGGCCTTACAGAAGATCAAAGCACTTTAAAAGCTTGAGCTATCTAGCGGTGTAGATTACTGCCCTGAACTACAGGAAGGCTGGGTTAAAAGTTACCATAAATAAAGTTTTAAAGCTACATCACCCTAACACAACACCATCAAAAACCTGACGACAAGAATCACGTCCTTCTCTGTTAATCCTACGTATTAGTTTAGAAGACGTGCAACATGAATTGCATCGAAAACCACAATGCCACACACTGCCAGAAATCCCTGCGTTGTTGTAACACACAATCACACATATACATACCTCTGTTAAGCATTGGGTTATAGCATTATCACACTCAAATCCAACAGGGAGGCAGATATCAAAGCTGGCAGAGTATCCAAAGACCCTTCCCTGAGGAGCCCTCCGATGTATCCTTTATTCCACATCCATTCTGCCTGGGAATCATTCCATTTTTTCCCCCACAGTGTTCACAAAGTTTACTCGCTCTACGTGCGTTGCTTGTTAAATGCGCCGTCCCGTACTTCCTTTTCTCAGAAAACCTCACAGGTGCAGATGATCCTGGGTGCGAGGGGTGACCACACCATGCCGTTCTTCTCGATCACTGTAACGAAACAAAAATGCACATGCTTAGCAATAAGGAAGTGCTCGGTGTAAACAGTACTTTTTGAGTCATTATTAAGAGGGAACGTCAAAATCACCACACATTAACACTCGCAGAATAAAATTGCAAAAACTAACTTTAAGGCATAAAAAAACAAAACAACGAACAATAAAAAGAAAGCATGATCTACCAAAAGACTTTTGGAAAAAGCACAACATGGACACCGCAATGCACGCAAAGAGAGCAGAGAGAAATCCTGTGGCATGTACTCAGGCAGTCTGACAGCAGGTTTCATGAATGGGAGCTGACAGTACGGGCCCTCTGGCTGACCAAACTTGAAACAGGAAAACAAACATTCTCAAGGAAAACTCCCCTCCCCCCACAAACCTTTTCTTTCGACTCATTCTGTCCAACCTGTGTCAGGTTAGCAATAGTCAACCGCACCAGCCTCCAGACCACACAAAAGGAGAACGTGCAGCCACCGTGAGATGGAGAGGAAAAAAGCAAAGCGAAAACCTGTTTGCGAGGTAAAAGAACACACACCGCGATAGAAAGGAAAAGAAAGAAAGAAAAAGAAGGTTAAACTGACTCATCAACGTTCCAGAGGGGCCGGCGGACAGGAGGTTCGGCGGATGCACTAAACTCAGCTCGTCGGAATGGGGAGGAGAGGAAGTGGGCACTGCTGGAAGATCTAAACTGAAAACTTTCAGAAAGTTTCTGATATGAAGCCGAGCATAGAGGCTTGTGGCGGGATAAAGCTAGGCTAACAAGACGAGTGTTTTTAATCAAACAAGTACTTACTGATGCTCTAATTTTAGTATAAAAGTTCAGGAAAGTCAGTTCATATGAAAAGCTAACCGAACGGGAACCACTAGCTTTGAAAAACCACATGTAGCCAAAATGTCAACACATCCGACCAATAAAAGGTTTATCGTCACACATCACTTTAACTTGCATATTCAATACAAATGTCAGTTATTTTTATATTCTCAGTAAAAAAGTAAGTTTTTGTCAATGAGTAAGATTGAAGATTTAGGGGAACTTCGATTTCTATTTCTTCGTTTGCCGTGCAACCTACCACTTTACTGGGAATACGAGAGTTTTCAGTCAGCAAACTTTACCAGATGTATGCTAACCACTAAAATATCACGCGCCACATAATTAGCCTAACAAGTGATGTCAAACAGCTCTGACAGAGTCAGAGACCCAAACCGTCTCTTATCTGGAGGAGTTGTTAAACACACTTGAGCTGCATTTGTGACGTAAAAATTAGCCATCAAAATATAATATTAATAAATACATGGAGAAGCTAAACCTAAACTTTATAACAGGATAAAGGAGGTTGCTATGACACTACAGGTCAAAGGTCCTTGTGTTTCTTTCCCACACAGGGTGTGAAGAAAAAAAAGGGAAGAGAACAAGATTTCTTCTAACAAAAGAAACGCTTACATTTAAAGCACTTAATCTGGATGACAAAAACTTTCTCAATGTTACACTCATATACAACCCCAAGTGACTTCACTCACACAAATGCACATTTCTAGTTATTTCTCTTCAAATCCATTCACACTGCATGAAAGTTCAGTGAGAAAATCCATGACGCTGGCAAGTCTTTACAATATATCTGCTATAACTCACCATAACAAGTCTATAGCACACATCCAGAGCCATTTAGTGACTTCAAAACACTGCTAAAAACAGGATGAAAAGCATATGACGAGACAAGGGATGACCTCTGTGAACTGTGGCTCTTTTATTCTTGAAAATCCGGAGGAAAAAAGACTAGCTATTCATACGCAGGCTAAATCAAACATATGTTATAAAAGCTTTTAAGGCTACCAATTATTAGGAGCCGTCTCTGTGTAAACCTTGGCATTTCATCAGGCGGATACAAAAAAAAAAAAAAGAAATTCTCAATTTTCATGTTTCCCTTGTTTGTTGATTTCTAACCACGAAAAACAAAACAAAAAATAATTTCTATAAAGTCATTGATGCGTCATTTCAAAACACAAGCAGTGATGGTACTTTGCAGACTTGCCTGTCGCTCGTATAGGGAGTGGAAAAAAATACTATGCCATTCCGAAAAACATAATTTTTAAAAAGAAAAAGAAGAGAGAGAGAATTTTAAGAAGTTCCAACGACCTAAAAAAACGTATTCAGTCTATCAAAAAAAAAACTGTTTTTGGTTGTATTTAAGTACTATGTCCTTTGCAACTTGAACATCTTTAAGATTAAGTTTTTAAAAAATTGTTTGTGTTCACTTTTGAGCAACAATGAATACAAATATATACAAAAAAGAATCATCTGGTCTGAGTAGATTTTCTAAAAAACAAGAGAAAAAAAAAATTACAATATTTTAAAGTCATCAACTAGTTCCAATATGTTCTTTTCAAGCAAACACCTGGATTTAATATGGTAGCGTGATCCATTCTCTTTCACTGTCGTTAAAAAAAAAACCCCAACAATTTATTTTCTCTACAGGCTTCTTATTCAACGGCACCAACGCCACATGAATCTGCCGCAGGGACACAAGTGGCAAATCACAGTGCGGCATGAAGTTAGCCCAAAAAGAAGTTGTGCAAACTCAGAAGCCACGAAGAACAAATGGAAGACCCCCACTGCTGCTTTCTCCCTCCACCAAGGCCCAAATTCATTTGTCAGCCGTAAAGTTCCTGACTATACAGCGCTGATCTATTGCCTCTCTCCAAAGAGCTCACAGATGTGGAGTCATTTACATTTCAAATACACCTCAAGCTTTTCAATCACTTCAAACGCGTCTTATCAGACAACTCATGTGGATCTTTATTCTTCTGTGCAGACTGAGAACTGAATCTAGTAATCCACTGAACGGATAGCAAGAACGAATTCACATATTTGTGTGAGTGTTTACGATGCACGAGGAATTAAATAATATTCCAAGCAGATGGAAATTTTTCTTCTGATCTCTAGGTTGTTATACATGTAAAATGACAATGAGCTATTTCATGCATGATAATAAAGTGGGGAAAAGTTCTTTAAATCTTCACAGAACAAAAAATAGTCATGTAACTGCAAAAAGAGGTAAGATAAAGCAATTGTAACTGCAAAAACCAGATGATGACAGAGCTGTGGTTCCCTGTTGACTGTATCTGAAACTATGTTTACAGTTGCGAGTTTCTCTGTTTCTCTAAATGATGAGCCGCATTTGCCAGCACAGGCTTTGTCATTAAGAAACTTTTACCGACAAACTATTTCAGAAAGAAAAAGAGAGCATATCATTTCCAGACTGCCCGAGTGTGGCAACTTTCAGTTTACAGGAAACAGCGCAACTCATCTACTGGAACCAACATGGGATTTTGTATCATAACAATCAGATACAGGTTACGCTTCAGTACAGCACATTTAAGTGAAGTGTGGGTGATTTTATCAGTTTGAAGATAAATACCTGTTTCCACCCACTTGAAAGTACTAATGATATTCTAATGTGAAAGTGACTGTAAAACCAAATTAACTGGAAACATTACCAGAGTTGCAGAACTGAGGAACCTTGCAACAACTCAAATCCAAACAATGTTACAAAATGTATAGGATATGAACACATGTATACACATAACTTGTTAAAACTTGTTAGAAATAAATAGAACACTGGAAGTGTGTTCCTGTCCTCTGTACAAAAGTTTCTATCGATGAATAACATCAACAAGAAAAGATAAGGAGAAAACGACTACTGTACACGCCAAGAAAAAAAAAGTACAATTTCTATTCACATGCCTTCATTTTAGAAGATTAACAGAGAGTTATTTAAATTCCTTGAACTTTTGTCGAAAAGTTTTTTGAAAAGTGGTAAGCTCCATCACGCCACTTTGGTCACGCCACAAGAAACTTTGTGAACTACAGCCCCCCCCAAACACACCTAAGTGCGAAAGTTGTCCACACAGTTGCTAAAACAAATAAAAAGTTTTCCCATTACTTCTATCTTCACAAAAACACACATCCAAATGAGAAAATAGTATTCGTATAGTCAGGAGCTCGTTACCGCTATTCATAAACTTTTCCTCAGAAACTTGGTGCACGTCTCCATCGCCACGAAGAACGCAATGAAAACAGAAAGACGTCTTTTCGCTACCTGCCTTCGAATAAAACCGCAAAATAGCGATAAAAGCCCCGTTAAGATCTGTAGACTGTCGTGTAAACAACCTGCGCCTCTTTGTATGTGGAAAATTAAGTGTAAAGTTCAGCGCGTTGCCATGCCTACGCGTTTTCTTATCGTACATCAGTCACGGAAAGTTTTCGAAGTTTGTGTGGAAAGCGCCATTCAGCTTGAAGCATCATTTACGCAAAAACAGTAGCCTACACACTAATGAAACTTTCTACAACTTGAGCTATGCACCGTTTAGCTACTTTAGCGCGCAGTGCAACCGGTTTACACCAAAACAAAGCAAATAAAAGACGCCTCGCGGCTTAAATGTACAAGAGGAAAAAACGATATTACTACATTCGGGATATTATCTTGTGCAAAACGCATTGCAACACAGAACGAAATAGCTGAAAAGAAATGGGAAGTAAAAAGTAATCCAAAAACCTCTTCGTGTGTTTTCTCTCAACTACTGGGAGCTAGCAAGTCGCCAATTTCAATTTGCAATTTAGCCTCAAAACCCAAATGGCACGCCGAAATCCGAAGAGCCGTGCTCTTATTTTCATTGCAACGTAGTACTCAACTGATTCATCACCAAATCCCTTCGCCCTTCTCAACATTACATAACATTCTCCCCCTAAAAGCCATCAGGAACTACAGCTAAAATCCACATCGTTCTTCTACCGTGATCGCAGTGCTCATTGATTCGCTTTCTCCTTACCTGTTGATTAAATTGCAATAGTCTTTGCAGTCTGAAAGATGGTGGAGCTTTGGCGTTAGCCATGAAGCGTCTTTGTGTTGTTTGTTTGTTGATCTCGGGGAATGATTTCTTTTTTTATGGGGATGTAAGATTGCGAATTGCTCCTGTACACGTGAAATCTTGGGAGACTGTGTTTAATAGTAAAAACGCCTGAGTCTGGGATGGAAAAAAGGAGGTTGGTTTTTGCAGTGATCTCAGTTCTTTATCAGAAATGTTATCGCTTGTCAGGACCTCAGACTCCAAGCATTACGTCAGTTTCAAGACACCAACACTATTAATATCAAGAAGCCCTTGCGGAGGAAAGCGCCACCCTAGAGCGCGCTCTCTTAAAGGGACAGTGACCACTAAAACAGCTCCAGCGCCACTCTGCAACTTCGCCATAGACTGCTGAAGAAACCTACTCAGATAAGTCATCTAAACGAGAATCGGTTCTCAAACAGTTGTTCGCACTTCTGTTCCGATCAGAGAAAAAAACAACAACAATGCGAAATGCAGTGTAAAGATTATTTCTTCATTTTTAAGGGGAACCTTATAATATTATTTCTAGTAGGCTATCATTTTAAAACTCATGTAACGCAGATGTCTTCTTGCGGCCACCATAGTTTTGTGATAATCTAATAAATGAATAATCATTAATTAAAACACTACTTTAAAAAAAAAGG